TCGGTTCCGATTTGGCATTTCTGAATGTTAACAGTAATACTGTGTTTTTGCAGCCGTTCGAAAACAAGGTCCAGGTGCTGGAAATGGGATTCTCTGTCTGGACTTGCTATCAAGCAGTCATCAGCATACGCATGTACAAAGTTGAGACCTCGAGAAACGCCATCTATTAACTACTGGAATGTCTGGGCAGCATTTCTTAAGCCGAATGGAATGCGCGAAAATTCGTAAAGAGCGAAAGAATCAATGATAGCTGTTCGGGGAATGTCGTCAGTGGACACGGAAATTTGGTTACAAGCTTTAACGAAGTCGATTTCCGAAAAGAAAGTTGTACCTTTCAAGGTAGCTGTCAAATCGTGAATGTGAGGCAACGGGTAACGATCGGGAATAGTTTTCGCATTTAATCGCCGATAGTCACAAGTTGGACGCCAATCGTTGCTGTCCTTTTTAAGGATCATGTGCAACGGAGATGCATATGGGCCATTTGACGGTCGTATGATTCCTAAGTCTATCATGTGGTCGAACTCGTTTTTCGCAAACCTTAGCTTTTCGGGGGCTAGTCGTCGTGCTTTAGAGAATACAGGTGGTCCTGTAGTCGTGATGTGATGTGTAACTTTGCTGGTTACACACGGTAATTTCGGTTGAGTTTGGTGTATTCCAGAATACTTATCGAGTAGTGGTCGATAAGGTGGGTCTATCTTATGCTTAATTGTGACTGGGGATAATCTGCAACCAGGGAAGGAAGTTACGCAAACGGATAAATTAGTGTTTCCGTCTACTAGCCTCCGTTTGCGCGTATCGATGATTAGATTATGGTGTTGTAGAAGGTCCATACCAATGATTGGCATAGAAACATCTGCAACGACGAAGATCCAGTGGATGGGTTTGCGTAAACCCACGTTAAGGTAAATGTACCTTTTGCAATACGTGAAAATAAGCTTCCTGTTTATCGCCTGTAAGTTTGGGACGGATTCGTGAAGCCAGCCGTTAGAATTCGCTGAGAGAACGCTAACTTCTGCGCTAGTATCGACGAGGTAGCGAACTCTCGTTGTCACCTCTGTGACGTATAACAGACGGCTATGTTCGCCGGCTACGGTTGCTGTTAACGCGTGCCGGCTTGGAAGTTTTCCGAGCTGTTTTTCGAGTCGATCGGTTTTGAGTTCAGAAAATTGCAGGGTTTTCCTCAATTTCTGGAAGACTTTCCACACAGGTTATGATACCAGCACCAGTCGGGGTTATCCGCCTCTCGTGGTCTAGAGACAGATCGCTTACGTGAAATGCTTCTTCGCGGGTTTTGTGGCTGTTTATGGTCGTTGCGAAATTTAAGATAACGTGTAACTTTATGACATAATTCTGTAATGTCGTTCTGGATCGCTTGAGGTTTTTCTTTGACTGAAAAATCTTGGCATTAGATTTCGTGATTTCTAAGATGCGGTCGGCCGATGCAGCGAGCTCGTCTACAGAGTTTGGTTGAAACGAGACCAGCGCAGCTTGCACCTGTTGAGGAGGCTTAGGTAACAAAAGCTGTCTGAATAAGTCATTATCAAGAGTTTTTTGGCCGATAAACTCTCTCATTCTTTGCAACATGTCTTTCACAGAACCGTGTTGCAGGTCGATATTAAAAAGGAGTTGGTCTAACCTTTGTCGATCGGTTAGATCTCCGCGTTTAAGGGTAGATCGTTTCAGTGTTTTGTAAGGTTTCGAAACATCACTAGTAAACATACTAGTTGTTACGTACCTGTTGAATTCGCGCATTTGTGCCTTGGCTACTGCGAGGAATTGTGCCTTCAGCTAGCTGAGTTCATTAAAACTGTAATGGTCAGCATCCAAAGCCAAAGACCTAGAGAGCTATTTATTTTAGGGATTTATTTACCGCTACAACATTAAAAACATGGCAGTTTTTTTATTCTGCTGGCTTCACTGTGCATAGCTCTTCGGAAAAATGGATTTTGTCAAGATTTGAGATAGATTGTACTATCTACGTAGGCCTACTTATGGACTGGTTAACTGTCTTCTACCAACTTAAGTAAATCTGAATAGCACATCTTTGTCACTTCGTCTTTCATCAAAGAGCTAAACCTGATCTGTTTTCTTTAGTGGGGTGAAATATGAAGATAGTCAGAGACTTTGCCAGATGCTAAAACCTTATAAAAGGTAGCCTGTAATGTAACTACCATTTTCTTGCACAACCTTAAACAATTCATGTGACGATTGAATATCTCAAATTACTTCTCCATTATGTGGCTGGCCTAAAAGTGAATTGGCGACGACGGTAGTAGTTCTCAGCATATAATCGCGTTAATGACAATACTTTATTTCTCCAAACAGAGCCTACATTTCGAAGACAAATTATTTTTCGTATCAGGTCTCTGACAAGCTGAGGTAGTCCTCATGGTCACCAGTGAAACTTCTAGACACAACGTACTAAGCGAAGTGGTGGTAAAATGACAAATTTCACGGGCTATGAAAGTTACTCTAGAATTAACTAGTTGCCGTACAGTGTCAACACATATTCATGGGATTCTCGCTAAAGTACAAGAGGCATGGACTCTATTCAGGCAGTTATACAATCGGGTAACTCAACCATACATACCCTGGACTGTCCCAAAGAAAAAGAAGCACGGACATCCCTGGATAGGGCGGGATATTCGACGCTTACTAAGACAAAAGAAGAAATGCTGGGATGTTGCCATCCGCCTTGGCACAGCGGGTACGATGGAACGCTACAGATCGATAAGAAACGAGTGTATAACTAAAATTCGGGAAGCGCAAAGAAAATATGAAATGCAGCTGGCAGAATCTGCACTCAAGCAGCCCAAGAGGATATTCTCGTACATAAACTACAGAACAAGGATTCATCATTGGATTCCCAACCTAATTAAAGTAGGAAGTGAATCTGAAATGATAGAGGAAGATCAGGAAAAAGCTGAGGTTATGGCTGACTACTTTGGGGCAGTTTTCACTCAGGAACCTCCTCTAGAGAAAGAACCAGACCCAATTACAGAGTCAACAAACCAGCTGCTCACCGTGGACTTCGACCAAAACGATGTGCTTAAGGCTCTTAGCACCCTAAACATGGAGAAGTCAACAGGACCAGATGAACTACACCCTAAAATCTTGAGACATATTGCCCAATATATCGCAGCCCCACTGACTGTGATATTCAAAATGTCACTTGACCAAGGTGTGTTACCTATGGACTGGAAGGACGCAATCGTCACTCCCATACATAAAACAGGTCTACGACAAGTTCCATCAAATTACAGACCCGTAAGCCTCACCAGTGTTGTAATTAAAATACTGGAAAGAATAATCAAACGGACCATAACAGCATTTATGGAAACCAATAACTTGCTGAACATGGCACAACATGGTTTTAGAAAGGGTCTATCCTGTACAACGAACCTCCTTATAGCTAGGGAGCTCTGGATTAATGCGCTAGACAACGGAAACTCAGTGGATGTTGTCTACATAGACTTCAGTAAGGCTTTTGACAAGGTGCCAACTAATAGGCTGCTATTGAAGTTGGCAAACCTTGGTATTGCCGGACCTCTTTTAAAATGGATTAAGGATTTCCTAGTAGGTCGTAGGCAAAAAGTAAGAATAAATTCCAAGTGCTCCATCTGGAGACCAGTACTTAGTGGAGTACCCCAAGGTTCCGTCTTAGGTCCTTTACTTTTTATAATGTACGTTAATGATCTTACAAGTATAGTACAGTCTCCAATGTTATTATACGCTGACGATGTAAAAATTTGGCGAGTAATAACTGGAGACAAAGACGCATTTACTCTTCAGGCGGACTTAAATAATATGATAAACTGGTCTAAAGAGTGGCTAATGCCTATCAACTCGGAAAAGTGTGTCTACATGCACTTGGGGGATTCAAAGGTTAATACGTACAACATAGGGGATGTGTCATTACCCGTAGTCCGGTCTCATAAGGACCTAGGGGTGACAGTGAGCAATGATCTTAAGACGACGGCCCATTGCCGGGAGGTCGCAGTTAAGGGGTTTCGAACCCTCTGGGCTTTAAAAAGGACATTCACTAAGCTTGATACTACCATGTTCACCACATTATACACATCCTTAGTTAGAACTAAGTTAGAGAACTGTGTTCAGGCTGCAAGCCCCTGTTTAAAAGGTGACTCGGACATAATAGAAAAGGTACAGAGGGCAGCTACGCGTGCAATTCCGGAACTCCGGGGTTTATCATATAAAGAGCGGCTTGAAAAACTGAACCTCTTTACTCTGTCCTATCGCAGACTAAGGGGAGATCTAATATTGATGTACAGAATACTGAGAAATGATTTCGGACCTAACTTATTCTCTCTCTTTCTTCCCACTAGATCGGGACACCTCAGAGGACATAGCAGGCGAGTAGAAAAGCCAAGAACGAACAAAATACCCGTGGCATACAGGTTTTCACACCGAGTCATCAATACTTGGAACCTGCTGCCTGAAGCAGTGGTGTCCGCACCTTCAATTGACTCTTTCAAGAGAAGACTGGACACTCACAGAAGCATACTAGAAAAGGAATAACATAGGCCGTAGGCCTTCTCTCCTTACTACACAAATCTGAAATCTGAAATCTGAAAATTTTCGACATACAAAAGGCCAGAAAATTGATTAACCAGCTTTGTGGAATCATTAGGAAACGTACAGATTGCTTGGAAGGAACAGGCTGAGCAACGCATTTTGACCAATATTAAAGATTATCCACTCATTCCTTATTAACCTCTGCAGAAATATTATGAATAATCAGAGATATATTTCGAAAAAAAATTTAACAAAATCACGAGATTGTCAATCGTAATCTGCTGATTCGCCCAATCTTGTTAATTCATGGTTGAAACGAAAAACTAGATCAGTTAAGTTTACCGGGTCATGCAATTAGTCGCTTGTCGGCATGGTGATTGGTTGAGCAGAAATATGGTTCTGGTGTTACATCTAGGAATTGTATATATATCAAGAACTTTCACTGTTTTGCCGGTTTTGACTAAATTATGAGCTGGCATACATTATCCACATATTTAAACATCATAACCGTAGTCTTTATTCTGCTCGAGATGCATACATTTGAGGCAGCACCAGTTGGTCAGAATTATATTATCATTGTTGATGCTGGTAAGTGGAAAGTAAAATCTTGAATTCTTTCAGGCAGCAGTGGCTCAAGAATGTTCGTATACACATGGCAAACGAAAGCAGAGTCCTTGAGTGGTCTAGAAGATGTGGAAATTTTAAAGGATGTATCGGGAAATCCTGTGGTAAAGAAGAAAACCCCAGGTCTTTCAAGCTTTGCCAACAAGTTATCTGACATTCCTGATTATATATCTGCTTTGCTGAGCGATGCTGAGTCACATATCCCTCTGAGTAGCCAACCTAGCACCCCATTATTTATTATGGCTACAGCGGGAATGAGGCTTCTTACACAGACGTATGCATTGATTTAATTAATCATTATATCTTGTACTGACAGGGATCAAGATGCAATTTGGAAGCGTGTTCGAAGTCATGTGAAATCCACTTATAAATTCCAGTTTAAAGAATCTCATGCTTACACAATATCTGGTGTAGAAGAAGGTTTGTTTGGTTGGATTTCTGTAAATTACCTACTTGGAAAGTTTCGTTTACTTCCTGGGGATAATGGTAAGAACTGTGTTCTAATCTCAGATTTGACGAGTTACAATATATTTTGTTAAACAATGCTTAAAATGTTACCTAAGTCGTTTCTACTTTGGGATAAACCTTGGTGAAAATAACGCAGTTCGACTACTTACTTCTAGCCAGTGAATATTCTGTTAGTTTATAGTCCATAAAGCTATGCAAATTCAACCTTCCTTCCATTAATAACTATTACCTTTTATCTGATATTTGTCATTATCAGGAAGTGAAAGGATACTTTTAACTACTCTGAAAATTATAAATTCTGGTTTTGTCCACAGGGCCTGTTAAACAACCTACTAATGGCATGCTTGACATGGGTGGAGCAAGTATGCAAATAGCTTATGAAGTACAATCGACAGATAATCTACCAAGCAGCTTAGTATCGGAATTTTCCTTAACGAGAAATTGGTTTTCTACAAATCAACGATACAAACTCTACGTTAAAAGTTATTTGGGATATGGAATGAATGCATTTCGAAGAAAGTATGTTTATTGGTGGTCTTTTGTATGCTTTCTTAGATTGATCTCTCAGCTATGCTATGTCGAGTTATGGTATATACCTTATATTGTTTGACGTTATCTCAAGTCTTTTACCATTATTATGTTACTTGAGGTTTTTTAGACAGTTTGTCTTGTAATCCAAATTTATATGACAGTATACTTGTCATAAACGTGTGAAAACTGGACATGTATGGTTTGTTATTCACTAATTGATATATCACGAACTGTTGCTGTGGAGGCCCTTTTATCAAATGATATACTAATGACAACTCTGAATATTTTGGGGCGTCATTGGTTATGTAAGCAAGCTTTTATTTATTAGTAGTTAGTTTTAGCGTCAAAATAGGGTGCCTACAAAAAACTTTTCTTCTACTTTTGTATTCACGAGGATGGTAATGATCGTGATTTTAGAGTGAGGTTGCAACTTGGGAAAATTAAAAAAATATCCATCATTAGTTTAAATCACATTGACATATAGACATTTGAATCCATATAAAAATGTTTTAAATTTAGGTGTTTGCTAATCAATGTTTTGCTCGAAAGTATTTTTTTTATTTGGTTATCTGACAAATTTTGCTACGTCAAATGTTATTTTGAGATAAAATAGCTGTTGCACTTTCGTAATTTGTTTCATAGGTATGAACAGTACCTCTTCGAAATGTTTGGGATAAATAATAGTAGTAAACAAAAAGCATCCAGAATTGAGGTAAGTTGTTTAATAATATCAGTTGCTGATCGATGCATTTATTTTAGTGCACACTATTCTTAAACGTGACCTTGTATGTGCTATACAACTACTTTACTCTGGTACCCTGTTTTCTGTATATTAAGTTCACCTTTATCTTTTTTTCACTCGTTACAATATCTTGGGGAATGTAAAAACCAATTGCGTTTAGTTCCTTCATTCCTTAGTTTCAAAGTTTAGCAACTGATATCGAATTTCAAATTATTGTGATTTGTCGTTTTATAAGATTAGTTGTATGGAAATAATGGTAGTAAATTTTATTAGGCTGATATAGAGCTAAAACATTACTGTTCACATCTTTTCAATCATGTTAGAGCTAACAATTAAAGAACTTATGTATGAATATTTGCATAAAATATATTGACGTTTGGGAGGGGAACTCAAACAAATCACCAGAAGTGTTGAAGTGTAACAGTACTTTATATATTTTCACGAACGTATCTCAAATGTCCAAGAACCTAGCAATGAATTTAATGTCTCTATCTCAGTGGTTATTAACATTTTGTAGAGAGTTCATAAGCATTTTAGATTCCTGTTATTGAGTAACTATATTATTAGTTTTGTTGTTCACAATAAATGCATCAGGTAATCACAGAATAGTTTTGCTTCCTTAGGTTATTTATTAACAATATTATAGTTAGTGTCGTGTGTAAATTGGCCAAAACGTCTTCTTTTGGTAAACAATTCCGAGTGAAGATACTGTGCGAATGTTGTTTCCAAATGGGACTTTGTTAGATAATCTACCTTAGGTTGAAGAGAGAAAGATGAATTCATTATCTCTCCATAAGTACTGAATACTTTTATTCCATCATTTTTGTTTTGTTTACCGGTACTTTTATTCTCATTATAACACTTTCCTATGGTTGACTTACCTGTTTTTACCGTCGTAAAGTGGTAAACATAGACGATTGCGTTATTGTGTATTTTAGGGTTGATTTAGACATGTATGATGGTGTTATGATTTCTGAAATGGTTTTTTTCGTTTTCACTCTATCATTTATTAATTTGCTATATAAGTTATGTTTGATTTCTACCACTAGTAAGGACTGTGATGAGCAAAATCTAATTGACAAAAAATCCATTAAATCGTTTTGTAGTTTAGGTTTAGTCCTTTGTGATAGCAGAATTAATTGAAAGAAAATCGAAACTTTCAATGTTGGATGTGGATAAGGAACGAAGTACATCGTGAGTTGTCATACGTTGTAACAAAGTTTAACTCCTGAAATCTTCCAGTTTTGGGGTAGACTAGAGGATGTGATATGAAAAAAATCAGGTTCATCCTCCTTCCGTGCATTCGAACGCAACTTCTAACGTCCTTATAAGATGGAAAGCCATTGGCAGTTAGTTTCGAACCCTTCTGTTTACCGTGTACAATGAAACATACTTACCAATTATTTCAGACGCGATATTGATTGAGCTTAAAGAGTAGCTACAAACACAAAGCGTATCAAGATCAGTGATTCTGTATAATCTTCTATATTGAGTAAACAGAACGTCTCGTCCTAGAATAGATAAATAGCGAAGAAAGTGAACACCGATAAAATGGTTTATTATTATTTTAAATGCATAACTTATATCCATAAAGGCTTGTTTACTTACAGCTACGATAATACCCAAATATTTTAAATATCTAAGATTATTGTCCTAGTTTCAGCTAGAAACGTACACATAATTCACTAGAGATATTTAGTTTATAAACAGTAATATTAGTTTAATTTATAGGTATTTTTCTTGTTTATCTCCCTAGTTCTCCATCTATTTCCAACAACATCAATTGTTTAGAAAAGTTAAGTACATTTTATAGTTGGAGTGAGGTCGTTATTAAAACACATGTAGTGATTAAAGTTCGTAAGACTGAACTCATTGGTTCATATGGTCACTTTATAACCTACCAATTAATAGTTAAAACATTAACTGCTTGTTTAATGAAGTTTCCTTATTCTCAAACGGGAATATGTTTCCTGCTTACTCATGAATCGGGACAATGCGTCTTTGACTCTTGCAATAATGCTCCATTCATTAAGAGAAACAATTAACGCATGATTGTGTGGGGGAATTTTGATGTAGATTAAATCTTTGCCACTCGGTTATCCCAGAGAATTTGTGGACTAATCTAAGATAAAATACCTCGTAAAGGTAGATGGTATGTAAGTCCTATCAATTTCTTCCTACCGGTTTTCCTTTTACTTCAAGTAAGATATACGTTTTATAGCAATTCTTCACTTAAAGATAAATGAATTGATTTTTTGTGGATTGGTTGAGTTCTCAGGTGGGATTTCTCACCGTTGGACTTTGGTTGGGTTACCACTGAAAGCAAGTGAATTCTAGACACCTGTTTCAGACTATTATGTAACACCTCAGCAGTGCTCACTTATGGGTACCCCGAAAGTTGAATCCATGACCTTCAGGTCTTGGGGTTGCCAACTGACCTTTAAACCACTATGTTGCTACCAAGTGGTGCGCATTTATAACTTCAGTCGATTCGTGGTTTAACATGACAGTCATCGAATGCCATTAGTGATGGCTTTCACTATAGACATATCTAGCCTCCACCTGTCACCATGTTTCATTAGAACTTCAGGGATCCATCCTTACGTAGTTCACTAATGAGCATGGTTACATTACGGTTGAATGTGTTTCGTGCAGATCAGTTCACCATGCAGAAACCATCCGCCACTAATCACTGAGTTATTTTCATAGGAAAAACCATTAGGAAATAGGAATAATTGTTTATCTCTTTTTTGTCCTAGTTTGCGACTTGTCATTAGTGCTCATCCATGACTTAATACGTTATTGATAAGTGTAAGGAAGACGTTCTTATGGTGGACACCTTTTTGGTAGTTTGCCTCATTAATACTTGAATTCTAGTTGTCATAGATGACAAGTTTAGATCCAGGAACTTTGTTGAAAAAATAGACCTTTTTGGTAGCTTGCAGTGGAATACAAATAGAGTGCATTTCACTTGAGTTGGAGTTTGTGGTTTGGGTATATTTGTACCAGCCTTTTTATTTATTTATATTTGTTTGAACACAAATATTATTACAATGTGTCACTGAGTACATATGCGCCACACAGGTCACTTGATTTGTGTGTGGGCTGTGATACTATCCTGATGCCCAGTTCGAAACAGGTGGTTTTCTTAAGCGGGTACATTCGGAACCTTCGACCTAAAGGTCTGATCGAAAAGACAATGGAGCAACGTTAAGAGATGCAGTCCCATGGTAGCTGATGACCAATAATTGGTTCACATGCCATTTGTTCCTTCAGGATCCTGGAGCCCATGGTCACCATTGGTTTGGAATCAGGGTTTTCCAACTCCCCTTGGTGGCTCCTCCATATCCATCAAACCCGTTAAGCGCCGGACATTCGCTTTACATCTTCTTAATTTCGTAAACAACAGCCTTGTTGCTTTAACTGATAATTGGACCGATCACCTACTGGCTCAAATTACGTATCATTATCGTATAAACTGTCTAGTTATTATGACCACCTTTTGTTCAAAAAACTATCAATGGTTATGTGGATAGTCCAATGATTTTGAATGCGTGCCTTGATTAGTTATGAAAAATGTTTGTGAATTGTGTACTTAGTGGCACTTAATCGTTTTTATAATTACTATCACTGTTGTGACTATTATTCATGTTTAGTATTGAAATTGTCCGCTATTTGAATTTGTTAAAATTCATCTCTGAACATTTCAGGTCATTGATTCTAATAACTAAGTTACAAAATCTACTGTTATAATAAATTTTATTTTTCTTAATCTGAATAATTTTCATGTGATTAAACACTAAGTGCTTATCATACATCCATATATCAAAGTGGTCGGATAAGTTATAATAATATTTTGTTCAATGATATCGAAATACTCGGATCTCTATTTGAAGATAACATATTTCTTTTACTTGTCACATGTTAACTGAGGATCTTGAAGCTGATTTTTATCATAGACGTGTGGTGATTGAATTATCGCTGTAAAACCAGGGAATGATGGGAAGCTGTTTTATCCTAATCTAGAACCTTTAGGTCCTACGATAAGCAAGATAAATCCCTACCACTGAGCCAAGTTAGCAAAAAAACGATGAAAAAAAAATTGGCAGCCTGTCACTGAATAGTAATTAGTGTTATATTACCTTGTTCTTTTTAATGTGTAACTTCTATTGATCAGGTTTGCAGGGTAGTAATTACTGAAGTGTGACTTATGTGGATAAGTACTCAATAAATTTACTCATTCATCAAGAGTTAATTAAGTGATTTACAAAGTAGTAACCAATGTCATTTGGTTTGGGACTTAGCGATTAACCAAATTTTGACGTTCTTACACTAATATAGCTACTTGTCAAAATGACTACACAACACACTCCACTTCGTCTGAATTCTAAAGACAGAAGTAATCAGAATCAGATCTTAGACCTAATATTCAATGCTGTTTGATACTCAAGAGAAAGGTATAACACTGAATTGGAATGAAACCCCGTCCACCGTTCTTTGGCTTAATACAAAAACTCAACGCCTGGTTTCCTAACTGTCGTTAGGATTCATAAATTTGTATCGCGCTACAGTTTATGTGCCGTTAGATAATCGACGATACAAAATAGTTAGGGTTAGTTACTTTTCAAGGAACACTGACCTTGAAATCGATGTCCCAAACTGTTTAGTCTTTTTTCTTTACTGAAATCTATGCTGGATTTCAATCTTTGCCCAAAATTTTGTTTTGTCTGACGAAACACAGGTTTAATTACTATATACTGATATATACTAGCTTTTTACACGTGTTTTGAAGAATAGGTTTCATTATGAGTTTCTTTCTTGTTGTTATTTATGAAGTAACCTTTGGGCATTTATGTTTAATAACTATCCGACCTCTCTATCAATTTATAAGCTCCTTCTTTGTTAGATTAATTATCTGCTTGTAATAGAAAATCATGTGTAAGTAGGAACCTGTATGGGTAAACGAACCG